ATATATATATAAATTTCTTTAGTTGTAATAAATATATTTTTTATACATAAATAAAAGTTATAATATATATAACTTAAATAGATCAACAATTATATAATTCTAAAATATTATAAAAATAATACATCAATATACTAAGATATTATTAGTATATTAATGATCCTCTTTACTCCTCAAGCGACGCATCATGCGGAATGATAAGTGTAGATGTTGTGACAACCAGGAGGAGATAACAATGCGTTGTTTCAAGGACTGTCATGAGGTGCGAGAAGTGTGCTGGATATTACAGTTTGTAAGTCGCGACACTTTCTATCAGATAGATGACCTTAAGATGTGGGTCATTCATGGAGTTAAGTTGGGAGGCGCATTATTTTTATCTACAGTTTGGGAGATTTGGTTGGGTAGGAATCGGTTGGTGTTTGAAGGTAGTAAAACAAAGGCATGACAGGTAGCGCTGACTTCCCAATCACTTTTTGAGGCTATGACTAATGTTTTTTCAAACTATGAGGTGAGTAGTAGATTGCCAAAATGGGTGGGGTAGTTAGCTCCTTTTGAGAATTGCATCATTCTGAATACGAATGGGAGTGTTATGGAAGACAAAGCTGGATTTGGGGGTGTGTTGAGGAGTTCGGATGGTGTTTGGATTCATGGTTTTTTTGGAAATGTGGATGGCTTTAAGATTATTTGAGCAGAATTGTTAGGCATTCTACAAGGTTTGCGTATTGCTCAAAGAATGGGCTTATCAAGAGTTTTTATTGTCAAGCTGATTCTTTGGTTGCAATGAAGTAGATTCAAGGAAGGGTGTCTCATATGCATCATTATTCAAATCTGGTGCAAGAAATTCGCAAGTTGCTAGACAAGGATTGAGCAGTTTCTTTATCTCATATCCTTAGAGAATGCAACAAGTGTGTGGACTATTTTGCAAAATTGGGCCTTAAGTGTCCTGATGGATTAACTAATTTCATGGAGCCTCCTTTGGATGTTATTCCATTGCTTCAAGTTGATGTTGCTGGAGAGCATTTTCTGAAATTGTAGTTTCTATTTTTTCTTGTTGCTTTTGTTTTCCTTCTTTTTGGTTCTGTTTTAGCATCTTCAACTACCAAAAAAGAATATTAATGATCCTTAGATTGATGATCCTCCCCAATGCTAGAATGTTAAGCTTAATTGTGATGGGCTTTCTCTCCCCCAAACTGGTTATGTTGCAGTAGGAGGCCTTATCAAAAATGGAGATGAGAAGTTCATAGTTGCCATGTCGTGCAATCTTGGAAGATGCTCTATTATCAAGGTAGAATTGTGGAAGTCATACTCTCCACATAACTAATATTAGGGGCTTTCAAGCTATGGAGGTGGAATTAGACTCTCATTTGGCTATCCATATGTAATAGAAAGGACCTTAGACACATCGCATGAGCAATGTTATTGTTATGGACATACTTTCTCTTTTGTCTTCCTTTAAAAAATATAGCCTTTGTTATGTCTTTAGAGAGGAAAATGTGGTTGTTAATGCCCTATCTAAGTGGGGAATGAATAAATCTCCACAATATTTTAACACTCCCCTTTAAGCTAGAGCATATATATATACAATATGCACCAAGCTTGTTACAAATGTAATCTACCTTAGGCCTTTTAAGCGATTTTGTGAACACATTTGCTAACTAATCATTAGGGTGGACGAACTCAATTATGATCTCTCCTGAGATTACTTTCTCTCTTACAAAATGATAGTCTATTTCTACATGTTTAGTCCGCTCATGGAAGACTGGATTAGAGGCATTGTGAAGAGCAGTTGGATTATCACAAATGAGTTTAGTTCTGTGAGTGTCTCCAATTTGGAGTTGCTTGAGAAGTTGTTATAGCCAAGTAATTTCACTTGCAACTGCTACCATAGCATGATATTCTACCTTTGCACTGAATCTAGTAACTATATTTTGCTTCCACGAAATCAAGTTACCTCCGATTATAACACAATAGCCAGAGGTAGACCTTCTATCTGATGGTGATCCTGCCCAATCAACATCAAAGTAACAAACAATTTTGGAATTGCCTTTGTCCTCATATAGGAGTCCACAACCTGGTGCCTTCTTGATATATTTGAGGATCCTCATGACTATATTCCAATGACTATCACGAGGATCGTTGATAAATTGGCTTACCACACATGTTGGGAATGTGATATCTAGCCTGGTGATAATTAGAAATTGGGTTTTCCAATGAGTTTATGATATCTTTTCGAGTCTTCCAATGGCTCCCCCTAATCCGGAAGAAGCTTGAGGTTGAGGTCCATCGGAGTGTCACTAGGATGACAATCAACCATACTAGACTTAGTGAAAATGTCTAAAGCATATTGTCGTTGGGAAATGACAATACCAAAAGCAAATTGAGTAACCACGATCCCTAAAAAATATTTCAAAGGGCTTAGATCTTTCATTTGAAACTGACATTGAAGGTGAGATTTGAGGCGACAAATACCATTAGAGTTATCACCAGTAATGGTAATGTCACCAACATATACCACTAAATAAGTGCAAAGACTAGATGAGGAGTAAAGGAAAAAAAAATAGAGTGGTCAACCTCATATTAAGTCATACCGAACTCAATTAAGGCCAAGCTTAAGCAACCAAACCAAGCATGAGGAGACTACATCAGGCCATAAATAGAATGACAGA